TGTTTATATGTCAGTTTTCCTCTACTAGAATTTAAACTCTATGAGGGGGGAAAGGCCTTATCTTATTCTTATCCATAGTAAAAACTCAAATGTTTGTTAAATAAATACATAGGCGGTTCAAAGAAGGAAGCACAGGAAAAAATTAGAGTCATAAATATTAATCCTATCCAACCTCCATACTCTCTAACTCTACACATACCTGTTAAATAAATATTAGGATTACTATGTTGGATTTCCCCACATAGGTCTGTGAGGATAAAGTTATGCCTTGGTAAGGGCCTATCTCAAAAGAAAGTTTATTCTTAGAGCTGATTTGCAAGAGAAGTTGCTGATCATTGGACTGGAACCTGAATTGAGAAGGCAGACTTCATAACTTACTTCCTTTCTCTCCCTTCTCTTTCTGGGGTCTACAGATAGAGGAGGAGGAGTTCTTTTTTTTCTCAATACAGGCTCTCGCTCTGTCGCCTAGGCTGAGGTACAGTGGCACAATCTCGGCTCACTGCAACCTCTGCCTCCTGGGTTCAAGCGATTCTCTTGCCTCAGCCTCCTGAGTAGCTGAGATTACAGGCATGTGCCACCACGTCTGGCTAATGTTTTTGTATTTTCAGTAGAGATGGGGTTTAGTAGAGACGGGGTTTCACCATGTTGACTGGGGTTTCCCCATGTGGGCGGCCTAGAGGAGTTCTTACCCTTTTTTTGCACCATGGATCCCTCTGGCAGTCTGGTGAAGCTTATGGATCCCTTCTCAGAATGCATTAAAAATTGATTAAATAAAATACATAGGATTGCAAAAAAAAAACCTAATTATATAATATAAATTACAAAATATTTTAAAATGTAAGATAGTAATGTATATGCTCCCTTATTTTTGTGTTTTTCTTTTCTCTTTTTTTTTTTTTGAGACAGAATTTCACCCTTTCGCCCAGGAGGGAGTGTAATGGTGTGATTTTGGCTTACTGCAACCTCCGTCTCCTGGGTTCAAGCAATTCTCCTGCCTCAGTCTCCCAAGTTGTAGGGTGTGCACCACCACACCCAGCTAATCTTTTGTATCTTTAGTAGAGATGGGGTTTCACCATGTTGGCCAGGCTGATCTCAAATTCCTGACCTCGTGATACGCCTGCCTCAACCTCCTAAAGTGGTAGGATTACAGGCGTGAGCCACTGCACCTGACCTCTGTTTTCTTTTTTTTGAGACGGAGTTTTGCTCTCGTTGCCCAGGCTAGAGTGCAATGGCATGATCTCGGCTCACTGCAACCTCTGCCTCTCAGATTCAAGTGATTCTCCTGCCTCAGCCTCTTGAGTAGCTGGGATTACAGGCACATGCCACCACACCTGGCTAATTTTAGACAGGGTTTCTCCATGTTGATCAGGCTGGTCTCAAACTCCAGACCTCAAGTGATCTGCCCGCCTCAGTCTCCCAAAGTGCTGGGATTATAGGCATGAGCCACTGCAACCCGGCCTGTTTTTATTTTTTATCAAGACAAGAGTTTTGCTGTGTTGCCCAGGCTGGTCTTGAAGTGCTGGGCTCAAGCAATCCACCAGCCTTGGCCTCCCAAAGTGCTGGGATTATAGGCGTGAACCACTGTGTCTAGCCCTCCCTTATTAAAACATTAAGTAAGACGTAGCATAAGGTATAACAGCAACAATAATAATGAACAATTTCAATACTTTTACAATGTAAGTAAACTGAAGTTAAAACATTTGTGACTTATTTTAGTTTCAGTCATAAATACTGGTAATACAACTGTGGTTTAGTGTTTTCACAACTGAAAGAAATGTTCAATTTCAGTTAGCCATTAATGAAAATAAACCTGACTTTTTTTCTGAATCATGTTCACATACCCCTGCCATCTTTCTCTAAATTCTGACATAATACAATAGAAATATCCAAGAAAGTACTTGTGGATAATAAAAAATGTCAAGCAGAAAATAACCATATTCATGTTATTGGCTATATTGCTTCATTTTTAACACTTTGACTTTTGTCAAGTTTTATTTTTATGTTTCAGTCTTCATGGAACATTAAAATAAGACTTCACTTATGCCTGTAATCCCAGTACTATGGGAGGCCGAGGCGGGCGGATCACCTGAGGTCAGGAGTTTGAGACCAGCCTGGCCAACATACTGAAACACAATCTCTTCTCTACTAAAAATACAAAAATTAGCCGGGCATGGTGGCAGGTGCTTGTAATCCCAGCTACTCCGGAGGCTGAGGCGAGAGATTCACTTAACCCGGGAGGCGGAGGTTGCAGGTTGCACCACTGCACTCTAGCCTGGGCCACAGAGTGAAACTGTGTCTCAGGAGAAAAAAAAAAAAGCTCTGCACAACAAAGGAAACAACAGAGTAAAGAGACAATCTGCTGAATAGGAGAAAATATTTGCAGACTATTCATGTGACAAGGGACTGATATCAGCAATACACAAGGAAGTCAAACAATTCAAGAACAACCACCAAAAATAACAAATAATCCCATTAAAAAGTGGGCAAAACGCTGGCTGTAGTGGCTCACGCCTGCAATCCCAGCACTTTGGGAGGCCAAGGCTGGAGGACTGCTTGAGCCCAGGAGTTCAAGACCAGCCTGGGCAACATAGGCAGAACCCCATCTAAAAATTAGCCAAGCGTGACAGCATGCTCCTTTACTCCCCAGTTACTTGAGGGGTAGGGGGTGTGGTGTGGGTGCTGAGGTGTAAGAATCACTTGAGCCCAGGAGGTAAAAGCTGCAGTCAGCCATGATCATGCCACTGCACTCCAACCTGGGCCACAGAGAGAGACCTTGTCTCAAAAAAA